ACGCGTCATATTGATATGCACCATTTGTTTTATGTAGAACAAGAAAAGTTCATACTCAGGAAACAAGGTAGAATTTTACATTCAAACGCTGCCTTTCCGTCTCGCACATTTAAACCAGTAGATCATAAGACAGAGTATGCCATAATTTAACTGAAACAATGATGGAGAGGAAGATATTTCTAAAAATTCCATCATAATTAGAAATGCTGACCAAAACACACACCAACCTAAGCGGAGCGCTTCTTTTTTGACGTGCAATAAAACAATGCACTAAATTTGGACATGCTGATGTTTCCCTTTGTTAAATAAATCTGACAGAAAACATTGCGAAAACCGGCTTTTTTGTTTGTGGTGAACAATTTTAACGTTTTAATGGAATTACTTTCTGGTGCGATTGATTTATATGTGGCAGATTAATTTGCTAATATAGAGACAAGAAAAAAACGAACGGGCATAATTTTAGTTACCTGACCAATTCAATATATTTTTTCTGTCATTTTTCTCATTTTATAGGAGGCCATTTACCAGTGAAAAAGAAAGAATCCCAAAGAACTTTATCTTAATCAGAAGACTTACATTGGGGTATTCTCTTTAGTTCATTTTATTGCGGAAAATTGGACTGAGCCTTTGAGAACCCCGTTTGTAAATCTTAACTGCATACTGGAGCAAATGGCCATTGGAGGCCTTTTAGCTTAGTACTGAAAAGGACTATTTACTTCAATAATCCTTTCGTAAGTAAAACAACCATAAACCGCCCAAATTAATGTAACTCAAATTTGTAGGTCTCTTTCGAAAAGAGTAATCATTTTTGGAAACCTTACAGAATAACCCGCTACGATAAACACTCGCAGGAATATAATTGGCAACGGAAAATTTTAAAAGTGTCGCTACTAACATATGGAGGAGATAAGAGCTTGGCATACTACAAAACTCGTTTGAACACTCCAAAATACTATATGGCTACAATAGGAGTACAAAGAGAGTTCAGTAACTAATCCCTACCCTTAGGTGTGTAGAAAGAAAACGACCATGTTAAAGCATCCATTCTTTCTATTTCCTTCCAGTCCGCCTTCACCCGAGAGGCCAATGCTTGTGCTGCTGTCCCATCCACTAGTTAACAATTACCTTCACTTCCTTTTCACTATTCCTTCTCCTTCACTAAAATAGAGGATCTGGAATTTTCATCGGCTATAAGTTGGGGCGGATCACTCTGACTGAAGCCTCTTAACTCACTTGAGGCGAATAAAATTCCCACATAAGCACTACGAGAACTAGCTAACAAGAGATTTGAAGGACTGTCTGTCATACTTCAAAATTCGTTTGAAGAAGGCGAACCCCCCGAAGACTGCAAGTGGACATTCATCACTCTGATCTATAAGGGCGTTCACGACTTTAATGCGAAAATACAGTCCTGTCAATTTAACTTGCATTGTGTGTAAAATAATGGAGAGTATTATCAAAAGGCAATAAATGGAATATCTGGAAAAATTATTATAAGGAAGATGGATTGTCGAGCACGGGGTCGTTTGTTTATTATCCAGAGCTATCGAAATTTTAGAGGAATCCATCTTCGGAGATAAGAGACAGCAAAAAGCAGGGGATTAATTGTAATTGATGAAGCCCCTGTTTGTTGCTGTTTCTTATCTCTGACAATGGACTCCTGTAAGAGTTCGAAAGATCAGGATAATATAAAAGTCGATCCGGTGCTGGACAATCCTTCTTTCTTATCTATGCATATACTTGGAACGCGAACGTTTTCATTCATTCGTAAACAAAATAATATGCCATGTCCAGCATGGCTTTCATCCAGGAAGCACTTGCCTCAAGAGTGCTCTTTACTCGCATGAAAAGTGGATAGAGGCCACAAACAAGTGCTATCCACTTGATGTCAGATTTTTCTGACTTTAAAAGGGCCTTTGCTGGCGCATCGCAAGGCTTGTTTCACGTGAGATTTGGGTCGTGGTAATTCACGTATGAATTTTTAAATCGATCAGGAGTATCTTATATTTCAGAGGACAGAGTGTCGTAGTTGGAAGCTCTTTCTCGAGATGGGCAAAATTAGAAAGTGGTGTCCTACATGGTTCTTTATTGGCCCGCAATTCTTCCTATTATACGTAAAAGACTGCCTTATTAACTTAAACTTCGTAGCTATCATGTTTGCAGAGGAAAAAATATGGGCTGAAGTTAACTGCAGTGACAATGCAAGGAAGTTACAACCAAATATCAGCAAACTGATCTTTTGGTCATCCACGTGGCTTCTTAAGTTTAATTAATTCAAGTTTGTGGTCCTACATATTAGCTACGGTCAAAAAGTATCACCGAAACACAAGTATTTTATAAAAGTAATGGCACCGAAAGAAATGGAAACACAAAAAAGATCTGGGCATGTGAATAACCATTTACTTGATGCCACCAGGGCACTGTAAAAAATGTAGTTTATGAGGGAACTAGTGCGCTAGAGTGTGTTAGACGTGGGCTTTATATATTATTCCTTGATCTTTTCGGAAAAGTTTTCGGCCTCTAAGTGAAACCGCATTTAGATCACGGAATCCTAGATAAGACATTGTGGATGAAGAAAAATTGTGACCTCCTCGAAAAGCTGTATAGTTGTACAAATTAACCCCGGCCAAGTATCCGAAAAATCAGCATTTTATTACCGGCACTGTATCAAACGAAGTAGAAACTCTCAAAGACCTAGGTGTGAGCGCAGGAGAAATTAACGAACAGTGGGCTGGAAACCGGCATTAAATGTTTATGAATAAATACAACCCAATCTCTGTTCATTGGCACGTTTGTTTTGTGAGGGCCTCAACAGACGAATTATGACCCTATAGAACAGTTAAACCGTACTGCTTGATGTAATTGTGATTTGCTTGTGAGGCAGAAATAACAGCCACTTAAAATTAATGAATTGTACAATAGGTGAACCAGGGAGTGTCTGTACATGAAGCATAAAAATTAAAAAACTCAAACCTATCCAGGAATAGGAGACGAATTATGTCACCAGAGCAGACCCTCATGAAGAGTGTTCTACAGTCCGGTGAAAGAGGTGGAGCTTAAAGAACAGAAGTCAGTCAAGTGCCGTTACCCGCCACGTTACTTAATCGCACTAACTCGATGCATGTTGAAAGCAGTAAAACCGTGGACGCATCGAGATATCTGCTACAATGAGTACAGAGGCCTAGTCGCTAATCTTTGCAGGTGACTTCGCCACACATTTCAGTTCAGTTGAGTTTTATTTAAGGAAAGATAGACGCATATCTTTGAGCTCCCTATCGGTAACCAAATGGCTAAGAAATGTATGGATACAGAAGAAAAATGCCCAAAACAGGTCGTATACATAATTGCAGGTGAAAAGCGAGCAGCAGTCAGTTCGTCGAAGAGCGTAGCATACTCGACTACTAGGTTATTCCGAGCAGTATAATTACATATAATTGGTCTGATCGGCTAGATTAGCACGCAGCTGTTGAATGGGAAGCTCGACGCATGTCTAGTTTGCTTTAGACGAATTCGCACAGGTGGGGAGAACAATATCTTCAGACAGAGCGTACCACGCAGCAACCACTCTGTTACTGAACATAAAGTTGAGTCTATCAATCGTTTTGTTTGGGCGTAGTCTTTTGAGATGAGCGCG